AAATAAAATCTACAAAAAGAAACCTTCTAGAGTTAATAAATGAAATTAGCCTGTAGGATACAAGACGATTACTCAAAAACCAGTTGTGTTTCTTGTGCACTAAAAATGAACTAACATGAATTTAAATTTTAAAAATATATTTTATAATGGCACCAGAATATAAAATGCAGATAAATCTATAATACATGTAAACTAAAAAGCACAGGCTATTGCTGAGGTAAATTAAAGCCTGAATAGATAAGTTATGTTATTGGATCAGAAAACAGTATTGTTTAATTCCTCCACTCAGTCTGCAGATTCAACACAATTTCAAATCACATTCCTAGTAGGCGTTTTAAAAAATGAGATAGAGTTTCAGTTCAGTTCAGTCAGTCAGTCATGTCCAACTCTTTGCCACACCATAAAATTCATCCTTTGAAATTCTGTAATTCACTGGCTTTCTTTTTTTATATTCATAGTTTTACAACCATCACCATTGTCTAATTCCACAAAACTTTCATCACTCCAGAAGGAAACGTCGTATCTGTTAGCAGTCACTCTTCATCCCCTCTCAAGACCCCAGCCCCAGGCAGTCATTAATACATTTTCTGTCTCTCTGAAGTCTCTGCTTGTAAACATTTCATCTAAACAGAATCAAATAATATGTGGCCATAGCATTGGACTTCTTTTGCTTGGTACAAAGTTTTCAAGTGTCATTCATGTGTCATGAATCAGTATTTTATTCTTTTTTTAGTGGATGGCTAATTTTCCATTGTATGGAGATATGCCACATTTAATTTATCCGTTCATCAACTGATGGACATTTGGGTTGTTTTTACTTTCTGGCTATGAATGAATAATTCATTCATGAACTATTCACGTATGAATTTTTGTGTAGATGTGTTCTTGGTCATATAGTAACTCTGTGTTTAACTATTTGAGGAATTGCTTAACTTTTCCAAAATAGTTGGCATCATTTTACATTCCCACCAGCAGCAAGTAGGGTACCTGTTCCGCCACACCTTGCCAACACTTATTATTGTCTATTTTATATTATAGCCATCCTAATGGGTATGAAATGGTTGTTGTTGTTCAGTTGCTAAGGCAGGTCTGACTCTTTGCGACCCTGTGGTGCCAGCCTTCCCTGTCTTTCACTGTCTCTTGGAGTTTGCTCAAACTCACGTCCTTTGAGACAGTGATGCTATCCAAACATCTCATCCTCTTTAGCCCCCTTTTCCTCCTGCCTTCAGTCTTTCCCAGGGTCAGGGTCTTTTCCAGTGAACTGATATCTATTGTCACTTTGATTTGTATTTGTTATTTTAATATCTGTTTGTTATTTTGATTTCCCTAATGATTAATGATGTTAAGTATCATATCTGTGCTGCTTATATCTCTTTTGGAAAAATATTCAGATCCTGTGCTCATTTTTTAAGTGGGTTATTTGTATGTTTACTATTACATTTTAAGAGTTGTTTATGTATTCTGGATACTAGTCCCTTATCAAACAAGGTTTCCAAAAATTGTCTCCCATTCTGTGTATGTCTTCTACTTTTTTGATGGTGCCTCTAAAGTGCAAATTAATTGTGATGAAATCCAGTTTATGTATTTTTTTTCTTTGGTTGCTTGTGATTTTGTTGCCGAAAGCATCTGCATCAGAAAAGACATGTTTTCTTCTAAGAGTTTTTGAGTTTTGGCTGTTACATTTCTGTCTCTGATCAATTTTAAGTTAATATTTGTTTACAGTGTGAGATAAAAATCAGTTGAACATATTAGAGCATCCAGTAGTAGACCCACAAATATATGACCAATTCATTTTATATAAAAATGTAAGAGAAATTCAGTGAAGTCTTTTAAATAGATGAATGCTGCTTGAGCCTTAAGTTATCTGTTTGCCATAAACAAATGAACTTTGACCTGTACCCAGCACCATGTACAAAATTAACTCAAAACACACCATAGACTTAAATGTAAAAACCCAAACTATGAAACTCTTAGGAAAAAATTAGGAGATTTTTGTGACAGGCAAAAATTTCTTAAGTATGAATTAAAAAGCATGATTGATAAAGGGGAAAATTGATGATTTGTAATTCATCACTAACAAAAGCTTCTTCAAATAACACTGTTAAGAGAATGAAAAGAGAAACCACAGTGTGGGAGAAGGTATTTGCAAATTACTTAGCTGATAAAATATATGCAGAATAAAGAATTCCATAAAGCCCAGTGGAAAAAGTAGACAAAAGGCTTAAACAGATGCCTCACCAGAGAAGGTAGTGTTTTCAGAAAACACATGTAAAAATACTCAACATCACTAGTCATTAGAAAAATGAAGATTAAAACCACAATGAGGTCCCACTGTGCATGATTTGAATCATTTACAGTGATTCAAATTAAAATTTAAAAGATAAACCCATACCAAGTATTGATGAAGCTGTGGAGCAAGTAGAACTTTCACACACAGTTTTGGGTCATGAGAGAGTCTTGCAGTTTTTTAAGACGCTAAATATACATTTACCATAGGAACCAGCCATTCCACTCCTTGGTATTTACCCAAGAGAAATGAAGAGAAAACTTACAAGTGTTCATATCAGTGTTACTTGTTGTAGAGAAAATTGAAAACAGTCCAAAATGCCCATCAGTAGCTGAATGAATAAAGAAATTACAGAATGTTCATATAAAGTATTGAAATCCTACTCAGCAGTTAAAAGGAATGAACCCTTGAAACATAAAAATATGGATGGATTTCAAGATAATGATGCAACATAAATGATGACAAATAAAGTAGTACATACCAATTTTATATAATCTAAAAAATGCAAATTAGTCTACAGTTGAACAACACAGATAAGCAGTTTTCAGGGCACAGGACAGTGAACCTGGATGGGCAGGAAGGAGAGGTTACACCCAAAAAAAGGACTACAGGGAAACCTTTATGGCCAGGGGGTGAGGGGAAATGCTGATGGATATTTTTATCATTTTGTTAATGATGATTTCACACTTGTATTGCTATGTCACAACAACAAATTTTACACTTTAAATCTCAGCAGTTTTGATATCAATTTTATATCAAAAACAGAAGTAACAAAAATAGAGGTTCTGTATTTAGGGTTCTTCCTCCCTTAAAAATGATTCAAAAATTGATCATTTTATTTTATCCACTTAAGGGCTTCCCAGGTGACTCAGTGGTAAAGACTCCGCCTGCCAGTGTGGGAGACATGGATTTGATCCCTGGGTTGAGATCCCTGGAGAAGGAAATGGCATCCCACTCCAGTATTCTTGCCCGGGAAATCTCATGGACAGAGAAGCCTGGCAGGCTGCTGTCCATGGGGTTGCAAAACAGTTGGATACAACTTAGTGACTAAACAATAACTAGATATAAATTACTGTTTGATTCTGTTACATAATAAAAACATTTACCCAGACTCTTGAATTATTGTGGAGAATAACATAGAAGTCTTAATTTTTAAACTTTTCTTCTTTCCCTAAATTTATTTTGAAGCAGCCGATTATAGCGGAAAGAAAATGGATATTAGTGTTTGAGTCTAGCCTACAATTTTCTGTATGTGAGCTTGGGCAGGTTAATCAATACCTGAATCTATTTACTAAGTAAAATGGAGCTATCTACTTCATAATATTGTTTTGAAAATCAAAATACTTTTGAGATAAAAGTATTTTCCATGATGGTACCTTTCATAGTACCTGCAAGTTTCTGTGTGAATGTTTTGGGCAGTTTACTTGCTTTCTTTGAATGTATTTTTTAATCTAAAATAGATATTCATTTTATAGGATTGTTTTGAGAATTGACTGAGATAACATGATCATCTGCTATAACATGACTTAGTACATGATGCATGAGAGAATTTCACTTTCAGAGGGCTCTGAAAATTTGTTCCAAATAGTTTCATCAAGAATTTAATAAAGTTACAACTAAGAATTTTTTAAACTGAGCTTTGAAATTAATACTTACTTTGTACCAGCTGTTGAAGTTCATATAAAATTCAGAGTTTTCTCATTTCTGTTCTGTATGAAACATAGTTTTTCTCAAAGGTTTGTATGATTTTGTAACCATAGATTGATCCTACATAGAGTAAATAATTTTTTTTTTAAGCATTTCTCTTTCTTCTTGATTTATAACGTTGTATCTAGTTAAAAGTAGTACTTTACCTTTGAAATGCTGCCTGGAACAATTTTGCTTCCCATGTCTGTTAATTCAGGGCTGACTCAGAATGAGAAAATCTTCTTTATATTTTTGAGTTATTTACAAATAACTCAGTAAACTATTTGTTTCTGTTTTCCACACTTTGGAAATTCAAGTAAAGTACCAAATAATAATCAGTGAGTCTCAGATTAGGACTGTGATATAGGTACAGCTCACGGTATTGCTTCCAGATCTCTGGCCTGCCCTGTTCAACTGGAATTTTGAAAATGGATCATAGAATTAGAACCATAATTGAACAACTACCTCTGCTCTGGATCTGTGGAGGAATTTAGATTGTGGACTCTCTTGAGTAATGAGTAATTACTCTCTGGAGCAATGAGATACCTTTTGTGATTTCCATCATGGTTCTCAGCCCATGTGCTTTGGTATCACTGTAAATTGTTATCAGTTTGCTTCTGAATGTTCTTCATCAGCTAATGATGGAGTGATCACTATTACTGTGTGACAGATCTCTGATACTCAAAATTTTTGGGAAACTCGTCATTGGGATCCTCTGACCAACAGTTTAGTATTTCTTTAAGAGTTCAATAATAGAAAAGTTACTTTTTAAAACACTGTTGGTTGACTAATGGTACATACTTAAACTTTGTAAAGCAACAGTTTATTTTGAAATGCGTAGATTTGAGTTTGTGAACCTCTTCAGAGCTTCATTATTTGAGTTTGTGAACCTCTTCAGAGCTTCATTATTTAAATACCTGAATTAGTCTTCATGAATTTACATAATTTGTAGTATGTTTGACCACAGTATTTAGAGCTTTGTAGTATTGCTTCTTTTTCTGTATTGATTTTATTTTCCCTTTTGTAGATGGTGATGCCCAGTCACTTAAGGAGCACCTTATTGATGAATTGGATTACATACTGTTGCCAACTGAGGGATGGAATAAACTTGTCAGCTGGTACACATTGATGGAAGGTCAGGAACCAATAGCACGAAAGGTACATATTAAGAAATGAATAGAAATATTTTTCTTAAACAGTTCCTATTTTGTTAATTTCCATGACTTATGAAGCCTCTTCAATTATCTTGGAGAAAAAGACCATCAAAATGTTACTGTACACTAGCACACATAGAGGGAGAGTGTATTATATGCTAGCCACTAATAGAAGCACATCATATACATTATTAACTAATTTAATCCTCATAAAAAGTCTTTCTAAGATAAGTATTATTATCCCCGTTTTATAGATGAGGAAATGAGGACAGAGGTAGCAAGGTTCAGGATCTTTTAGAAAGCCACGTGAGTTTACATACTTAAATTTTCTTAAAACTTGAAAATGCAGTTGTTTTTCTAATCCTGATTTTAAGCTTTATAATTACAGTCTAGAAACATCAAAAATGACCCATTTTCTTTATTTTGGGGAACTGAAAAGTCATTTATGAAAGTATTGCGATAGTAGAATAATACCCAGTACTTAAGGTAGATCTGTCAACCTTACACAAGTATTTGATAGTGTGGTCAGGTGGAGCAGAATTATTTATCTGATTTTATTTCCACTTAAAAATGATTAAAAAACCATTTATATAACACAAGGATATAAACTTCTAGTAGACAATTGGATTTATTTGAAACTGATGCTACAAAGTTGATATATTAACCGTTTGTATTTGTATATCTGTGATTTAGGTATAGAACTGAATTTTGTTTTCTAAATAGAATGTGAATATGCCTTTGATTTAGTTCAGTTTAGTTTTGTTCCTTAATTTCAGTCAGTCTTAGAGCCAATTTAAAGTTAAGAATCATCTCTTCTAGGAATGCTAGCCATGAATAAATTTTATATATATATATAGTATATATAATATATAATTGCTCCAGTAATCTCGCCTGGAAAATTCCATGGACAGAGGAGCCTCGAGGACTGCAGTCCATGGGGTCACAGAGTTAGACACAGCTGAGTACACACACATATATGTGTATGTATATATAATGGCTGATGATTTTTATCTATAATTCCCATAGAACTGAGTGTTTTGACCATTTGAAGGATAAAATACTTAGCTGTAAAACTCTATAGAAGAAGACTTTTATTCCTGGGTAAAGAAAAACCTGTGTCTAGAATATCTTCAAATGTGTTAATTTGTATTAATTCAACATTAATGACACGTGTTTTTTCCTTAATAAATGTAAAATATCATATATGAACCGATCAGCTGACAACTCCTTTGACATTTCTTCTTGAAAGAGGCCTTATTGGTATTTCTTGAAATCTATGTCTGATAAGCAAATTAAAGAAGATAAAGAATCATGAAGACTTCATATAGGGAGAAGGAAAAAAAGTTTAAGAAGTCTTGTTGTTTAGTCACTGAGTTGTGTCTGACTGAAGCCTGCCAGACTTCTCTCTCCATGTAGTTTCCCAGATAAGAGCACTGGAGTAGTTAGCCATTCACTTCTCCAAGGGATCTTCCCGATCTAGGGATTTAACCTGGATTCTCCCAAATATAGGCAGATTGTTTACTATCTGAGCCACCAGGGAAGCCCAGGAAGTTTATTAGGAGGCTATATATTTATTTTTAATGAGGCAGTTGGAATTTGCTTCACTTGTAAAATAATTTTCAAACTTTAGGTTATATTAAATTATCTAGAGTACCTATTAAAATGTCTTCCTTCAAACTTAAATCAGTTCAGTTCAGTTCAGTCACTTAGTTGTGTCGGACTCTTTGCAACCCCATGGACTGCAGCATGCCAGGCCTCCCTGTCCATCGCCAACTCCTGGAGTTTACTCAGACACGTCCATTGAGTCAGTGATACCATCCAACCATCTCATCATCTGTTGTCCCCTTCTCCTGCCTTAAATCTTTCTCAGCATCAGAGTCTTTTCTGATGAGTCAGTGTTTCACATCAGGTGGCCACAGTATTGGGGTTTCAGCTTCAGCATCAGTCCTTCCAATGAATATTCAGGACTGATTTCCTTTAGGATGGACTGGTTGGATCTCTTTGCAGTCCAAGAGACTCTCAAGAGTCTTTTCCAACACCACAATTCAAAAGCATCAATTCTTCGGCGCTGAGCTTTCTTTATAAAGTCTGTCACTGTTTCTACTGTTTCCCCATCTATTTGCCATGAAGTGATGGGAGCAGATGCCACGATCTTAGTTTAAATCAGTAAGTCTGGGAATTTCCATTTTTGCTATGCTTCTGATCCCAGTGGACCCGCATATGTCAGTAGAACTTACTTAATAGAGTTGACTGGTTTTTTAGAATCTGAAGCCCAACTTCAAATTTTACTAATTTCTGATTGCATTAAGAAATCTAGAATTGGTGATGCCCCTACTCTCATGTAGAAACAAAGTTAACCATCTTCCTAGGCCTCAAATCATCACTAAATGTCTCACTTAAAATACCAAGCATTCAGCTTAAAACCAGAAACAAAATAGGCAAATAGGCAGGAAGTACAGTGGAACCAAAATCCAAGAGAAACAATGGATAATGGAAACAGATTCATGAGGAATCCAGATGACAGAAGTATTAGACAGAAACCTTAAAATATTGTGCTTGTTTAAAAAAAAAAGTTGAAAAGAACCAAATGTAATTCTAAAACTGAATACTAGTATGAAAACGTTAAGAGTGAAGTGCTTGTTATTTGACCAAACCATATTTGGATTTATTTGAAACATGTTACAAAGTTGACACATTAACAGTTCATATTTGTATATCTGTGGTTATTTGGGTGAAATACTAGACTAAAAAGAAACAGAATGTGTAAATTGATAACACCATTAGAAAATAGACTAAAGCTTAAAGAGACTGAAGAGTGGAAAATAAGGAAAAAAGAGGGACACGTGGAATGCAATGAATAAGCATAACATAGATTTAAGTGGTCTCCTCAAAGGAGAGGAAAGACAGTATGGGGTAAAAGTAATATTGGAAGTAATAGTTGAGAATTTTCCAAATTTGATGCAAGGTATCATGCTACAGGTTAAAGAAATGCTGTGAATCCCAAGCTGAAAAAACACAGATAAAACCATACACAGTAAAATTGTTAAGAAAACAAAGATATTCCCGGTAATAGCCAGAAAAAAAGATTTATTACCTTCAAAGTAAGGGTAAGACAGATGCTTTCTCAAGAGAAAGCCAAAATAAAATAATAATGCTGTATCTTCAACACACTGAAAGAAAATAACTACTAACCTTGAATTCTATAACCTTGGAAAGCATCCTTAAGAATAATAGTGAAAAAAGTTGTTTTCAGATAAATTGATAAGATTTGTTACCAGCATATTTGCACCAATGGAAATAAAAAATTGTCGTCAGAATGAAATTTTACTCTGTACGGAAGCTTGGAAACACAGGAAAAAATGTTGACTGGCAAAAGCAAATACTATAAATGAGTGTTAAGGTAGGCTCTTTAAAATAGTAATAATTTCTTATGAGGGTCAGATGTGTATAAAATTATGTACATAACAATATTAGCAGATAGTTGCCCCAAGACAACCCCCATTATCTCCACCTCTTCATAGCCACAGCATTGGATAGTCCACATCCACATCATACCAGGGTCTGTACTGGTATTGTATTACACTGGTCTTTGTGGCCAGTGACATATAGCAGAATCATAGTACAGTATATCACTTTGAAGATTAGATTTTAGGTCAAAAGGTGTAAACTTAAAATTATAAAATAAGTCATGGGAGTCTATTGTATAGTGTGGTGACTATAGTTAAAAATACTATATTGCATATTTGAAAATGGCTAAGACTTCTAGAAGATCTTAAAAGTTTTCATCGTAAGAAAAGAAACGTGATTATGTAAGGTGATGAATGTTAACTGTACTTACTGTGGTGATCATTGCACCATATATGTAAATATTGAATAGTTGTGTTGTACACCTGAAACTAATATGTTATTGCTCCTAATTTTAAAAGTAAAAGATTAAATTATAAAAGACACCTTGGCTTTACATCTCAGGTGCACATACCCTATTGCTCTCTCTCATTTCTCAGTCTGAGAAATTCACCTGCAGCCTCAGGCAGCCTACGGATGGGCTCATGTGTTAAGGAACTGAGATCTCTGGGCGGTAGAGAAGAATGGAGGTCTGCTAACGGTGATTTGAGTGAGCTTGGAAGTGAATCCTCCAGTCTCATTTGAACTTGCAGTAACTGAGGTCCCAGATTGACAACAGCCTTGTGAGAAACCCCAAGCATGGAATATTACTCAGCCATTAAAAAGAATTCATTTGAATCAGTTCTAATGAGATGGATGAATCTGGAGCCCATTATACAGAGCGAAGTAAGCCAGAAAGATAAAGACCATTACAGTATACTAACACATATATATGGAATTTAGAAAGATGGTAACGATAACCCTATATGCAAAACAAAAAAAGAGACTCAGATGTATAGAACAGACTTGTGGACTCTGGGAGAAGGCGAGGGTGGGATGTTTCAAGAGAACAGCATTGAAAAATGTATATTATCTAGGGTGAAACAGATCACCAGCCCAGGTTGGGTGCATGAGACAAGTGCTCGGGCCTGGTGCACTGGGAAGACCCAGAGGGATGGGGTGGAGAGGGAGGTGGGAGGGGGGACCGGGATGGGGAATACATGTAAATCCATGGCTAATTCATTTCAATGTATGACAAAAACCACTGCAATGATGTAAAGTATTTAGCCTCCAACTAATAAAAATAAATGGAAAAAAAAAAAAGAAACCCCAAGCCAGCCCCACCCAGCTAAACTGCCCCAGATTCTTGACCCTCAGAAACTATATGTGATACCGTTTGCTTTGCTAAGCTGATAAAAACTTGGGGAAATATATTATGTAGTAGTAAGTAGCTAATATGGGCTTCCCAGGTGGCACAGTGGTAGAGAATCTGCCTGCTAGTGCTGGAAGACACGAGACCCTGGGTTCGATCCCTGGGTCAGAAAGATTCCCTAGAGAAGGAAATGGTAACCCACTCCAGTATTCTTGTCTGGAAAATTCCATGGACAGAGGAGCCTGGTG